TCATAAATTTTTTATTATAAATTTATTAAATATATTGTAATAAAATAAAAATATATTATATAATTAACTATGATATTTATAATTCAATTTATTTCAAATATTTAATTTAAAAATAATAATATATATCTTAAACTATAACTTATTCATAAAAAAAATATTATTTTTTATTTTAATTTTAATGGTATATGTTATAATTTTGGTTCCATTCGATTTGGGTTAGTTTTTAATTATTAAATAAAAACAAATCGATCGACTTTAGTCATTTAAAATAATTAATTTTAATTGATTTTTAATTTTTTTATTTTATTTGTGTTATTTTTGTATTGGTTAAATTTTTAATACTCTAACTATTTCTCATAGACTAGTAGTAATGAGTAGTTGAAGGGTAGGATGTTTTGTCACTTTTAACACCTTGGTTAAAGGAAACTTTATGAGTGAGTTTTCCAAGCCTAAGGTCTAATACTCTAATTTATACACACCACTACAAATATGATTTCATATATGATTTCTACGTCAATTATTTAACAACTCTAAGTAGAAACACGCGTAGTAATATTTTTATAAGTAAGTATAAACATTTTATATTAGTTATAATTTGACTAATGTAGTATTTGATTAAATAACTAATATACAACTCTCAAATTAAATATTAATAATAATAAAAAAATATTAACGGAGATTTAATTATTATTGTGTGAATAGAAGCAATTATCAAGGGATTATTTTTTTTTTTTTTGGATATACGTAAGAGAAAATGTTATATTTGATTAAAATATAAATTGACATAAAAAAGAGTTATTATATTGATTATTTAAAAGAATTGAATAGCTCGTATGAAATAGTTTTCAACACGTGTTAAATTAACCTTCTTAAACTTTTATTTCATAACCATAAAGTTTAATGTTTAAAGAAATTAAATTTCTCTTTTTTAGGTATAATGCGAAGAGTGCAAGTTCTATCAAGAATCTAGTTATCGACCTTAGCATTAGATAATAAAACATTTTGCCTTTGTTTAATAGAAATAGTAAAGAGAAGATACAAGTAAGTGAAAATAACGTATATATTTTTTTCTTTTAAGAAAACATTTGAATTCTATTTTGAAAGAAATGTGTCAATTAATTACAATTTTTAGTCGTTGTGAAAATCTATTATACACTAAAATAAATATTATAAAATAAGTTTAAACTTAAAATTTTACTCGTATGAGTTGGAGTAAAATAAGGTTTTATATTCATTTGAGAATACGAATTTTAAAAATAAGATTGGTTGAAATAAGTTTTGTTTGTTAGATGAAGGTAAATATTAAAAAAAAAAATTATTGACGTACTGTTATTTTTGGTGAAGATAAGGACACACTGATCATCTTAAAATATTGGACATACTCTTTATCACCTCCTATTATTCCTTCTATCATACATAATGATAAACTCAATGACATTTTGAAATCATTTTAAAATTATTATAATTTGAAAATAAATATTGTTAACCATATTAAAAGAATTATACAATCCTTATTTGTAAAATTATATATGTCTCTTATTTATGAAATAAAATAGATGAAGCTGGTTTGTTTTACCAAGCTTCCGGTCATTTATTCATAAAAGAGAAATAATAAATAAACGTAATTGAAATTATATACACATAGTGTTAGGGGTAATAGTTCTCTTCTAGTTTTATATATCCTGCAAAATACACATAATCAAGACTCATTTATTGAAAAAGTTAAACCTTGTTAATTTATATAATATTTTTTCTTCAAAAATTCTTGTAATAAATTCTCCCAAATCAAACATATTATATACAAAATCAGTATCATGCTAGCGTGCGTAAATTGCATAAATTTCCGTAGCTGCGTAGAGAAACTACGTTTCTAGCATTGTAGCTTTTTCATAAAATCTTTGAGACTAAAAAAAAAAAAAGAAGATAACGTGGGTTAAACGTTGGGCAAAGTTTATACATATTTGCAACAAATGGTTGAGTGAAAGTGGAGGAGTGGAGGGAGGGTTGGTGAAAAAAATGAAGGTAGGATATGAGATAATGGAAGCAAAATCATGATTTGCAATGATGCTGCTTCATGAGTGTGAAAATCTGTGTTCACTGCACCACAATTATTTGCTTAAAACCATGCGCTGGTGCTGGTGCTGGTGCTCTCCTTTTAATTAATGCTAGTTTGTACCATTTTGCCAACAACTACACCACTCTACCACGATTAATTAGCCACCAAATCTGAAATTCAATTAAACAAAAGCATTATTTCAATTATTCTCACTCTTTAATTTCATTGAAACAACTACAAAACTGGTTCAAATAGATTAAATTTCAAATGAATCCAATTAACTTAACTAAATTTTAAAATAATTCGAACATCAAGTTTTTGTTTTATAAAAAATTCTTTCTGTGGAGATAACGGTGGAACTTTTTGCGAGTGAAAAAAGGGTCCAAAATTTTATAACATGTATTATTACAATTTGAATCCATTTAATTTTTTTCATGATTGAAAATATTCTAAATTTTTCATAAATCGGTTAAAACAAGCGCAAAGGATTTTATGATGAAAACCATAAGTTGCTTTTTGACAGATAAAAAAAAATGACAATTTGAAATTTATGACGCTGGCAAGGTAACGAGTGTAGATATGATGGTAGTTATAGTATGTTAGGGGACAGCTATGCTAGCTTTGGAGGTTCACCAAATCTGAAATTGCTTCTATTTGCAGTGAAGGAATCCAAAGTCACCAATCCATGAATTAAGTGGAAGAATGGGCACTACGACTTTTGTTTCTCTGCCCGTTACTCCAAGCCAAAGTAGAAAGCGACGACTATAATCAAAGAGAGAATCCAATAAACACACACAAAAACACACTCAGAACTACCTTCCAAGTAAAACAATGGAAAATGAAAAATGTTTCAGGTGAAAAACTCTCACGTAAGCCAAATTCTTCATTTGGATAATAGTAAAATTTGTAATCAACTTCCCTCATTATTACGGTTTTTTAATCTAGAACACACGGTGTGGTTTTATTTTGATTAGGGATAGGAGATAAAAAGAAATCCATTAATTTGGTTAGGTGATCTCATAGACAGATGTTGAATTTCAAGTCACATGATGTGATCCATCCTTGGATACTTTAATGATTGTTAAATAATAAATAATCAACCACCTTCGTCCATCAAAATTTTCCTCGGCTTTTTGTCAGTTTTGTCTTTGTTTTTATTTTCTTTTATTGGTCTAAAAAAAAGAACATGGGAGATAAATTATCAAAATGAAATTTAAATGTCATTAAAAAATATATATACATAAACAGATGAAAAAGTAATGCGATCGAATCTAAGTACCCTTGGAAATTGAGCTGGGGTTCCGGAATGGTTGTAGTTTTGCTTTTATGTTTTTGCCATAAAATACAACACTTTGAAAAAGCCTATAAATGAATATAATGATGTAGACCTTCTATTAAAGTCAAATTTTGGGTACCTTTAGCTCTTGAACTATATTGCTTGCAAGTGAAACAAAGCATATGGTAGTAGTTATGATATATGTATCAAATATAGCAATAGATCTAAAGGGCATTCCTTAACAATTGCAGGGTTGTGACTATATGGTCCCCAAAAAAGAGAATCACGTGCATAGATGCATTAAAGTTCCTATATATCAGAAAAGCAAAGCAAAGTTCCACAATACAAGTGTTATCTAATTCAAACCCATCACTACTGTAGTAACCTTAACTGTCACTAGTTTTCGAAGACGATTGTTTGAAAAAAATATATATATATTTTTGTATCAGAAAATATCTTTGAAGGGGGTTTTTTAAATTCTTTCTATCTATTTTAATAACTTAATACAAGTTTATTTAAATAAATTAGACTTATTTAGTAAAGGATTTTATTTTAGCAACTTGTGTAATTTATAGTAATGGTTGTTGCAATACGACATCAAAATTTGTTATATCCTATATTTTCATATTCATTATCTTATCATGACCCATTCTTTTGTATACTTTTATCCCATAGTTTAACGATTGGCCTCACCAAATATTTTAAATCTAGCTAATTGTTTTTAGGCTTTCAACTTTGACCCAACTAACTTTTAAATTTTAACTACCTTATTCCTTACTTTTGTCAAATACACCCTTAACTAGCAAAATCAATTTGTTTGACTCAAAAGAGCTTTGGACCAAATTTTGTGCGAGTTTTTTTAACATTGAATCTTTTTTTGAACAAAATCTCAAATTATGAGTTTATGTGTTAGCAAAATGAAACGCCAAATAGATACTATTATTATAAAATATGTATTTATCAATAATTTAGCATTGGACTATATATAGTTTCTGCTTGTAAATCTTTTATGTAAAAATATTTTTTTACACTTTAATTACATCAAATATTAAAATAATACAACATTTTATTAATAGACACTCAATAATTATTTACAAACTATAATCTAAGGTGAAACTGGTAAATTGAAAGGTAATTATAACTATATATATATTATCATTTATTTTTCTTAGTCAACCCTTGTTATATACTGGGTAATCAAGAGAAAGACATTTGTTACGTCATAACCATTGAAATTTGTAATATTATTATTATTATTTGGTGAGAAAGAAGTGGCTGGTAGTGAGAGAAAAAAATATGATTACATAAGTAGTGAGATGGTGACTGGTATGAGTTAAGAAGAGTAATAAGTTTGTACAAGAATCTTTATCCTTGAAGACTTGGTATAAGATCCAATGCATATATTATAAAACTCTCAACGTCCACTCTTTGTGGGACACAAACCCAGATGGTAAGAGAAACACATCTCCAAAAGTGCATCCAAAGAAGCTAAAGAGAAATCATTAAATGAAAAAGGAAGAGACTGTGATTTCATTATTATATTAATTCCCACCGTTGGATCTCTCTATAAACATGTCCCTAACCACTTCTTTCTTATCTCTTCTTTCTTCTGCTCTTGTTCATTGTTTTGTTCTTCAGCAGCAACAGAAGCCGTGTTAGCTTCACTTCATGCACTTCAAAAGGGAGCATCACACCCTCTTCAGAATGTCAAATCCAGAGTTCCTTCTCACCAAAGTTGACAAAGAGAGCGGTTTCGAGATTGTGAAGAGACCCGTGTTGGAGTTTCAAAGTGAGAGCATTGAAACCCTTTCTAGCACCTCACAAAGCACAAAAGATAGCAATCAAGAGAAAGAAGAAAATCAACAGATCGGTAGAGTAACAGTTCACAAACAAGATGATTCAGCATCAAGTACTACTCCGTCATCAGAAGAAAAAGTTGAAGATGAGGAAGAAGATGGTTTCAAAACTCCCACTTCTTTGGACCACAAGATTTTGGTGCCCTCTCAGTGCCCACCTGCACCAAGAAAAATCAAATCATCTCTGAAAAGAAAAGCTTCTTGTTACAACCACTGCAACTGCAGACACCCACTTGATCTGTCAAAAGAGGTGTTTGAATTATTGTTCCCAACACAACATATTAGTCCACTTTCTGGCTCACAGCAAAGCACCAAGAGAGTTCGAAGACAGGATCATAATTGATGCAATAAATTTTGGTGCAAAAACCACATGCGCCATACAGTTTTTAGGTACGATCAATCTCTTAAATGGATTTATATATCTCGGAAGATTAGTTTCTGACTCGAAGTCAAGGATTCCTGGATCCAACCAAGAAATAGGAATACAGTTTCCGTGTGCATAACTCAAAGCAGGTGCAAAATTTTGGTCAGTATCATCAATTTTCATTTGGTATGGTTAATTGATTCGTCTTGGACCTTTTGTTTGTTCCTGTTGAGCATAATTAGTATATATATTCTATGAACGATTGTTAAGGTGTAAGCCGAAAAGATAAAGGGATTTGAAAAGATTAATGTCAAGTGTGTGTGTGAGTGGCAGTTGTAGAATTTCTAACTTTACTCCTGTTACGACCAGTTACTTTTGTTCCAGTTAAGACGTTGGTGCTGCATGTTTATTCATCAGCCATGTTCTAAAGGAAGAGAATTGATTCTGATTCTTGAACACAAAAAAACAAAATCAAGATTCATCTTAATTAGTTAAAGTGTTAAGTTTGGTTATCTTATCGTTTTCTTTCTTAGATTCTTCCTTCTGGATTACACTTGGAGAAGATGTCTTCGGATTCCCAAAAGATAGGGGAGCACAAACAGTTGCTAATGCTGGAAACATGAATGATTATGTTCACTGGCATGCAGCGAATTTGATTGTACATAAATTAGTATATAACACCATTTTTTTTTTTTTGCTTTCCCTTTCTGCGTTTGCGAGTTTTATATATATATATATATATATATATATATAGAGAGAGAGAGAGAGAGAGAGAGAGAGAGAATTAGAGTTAGTTAGAAGGCATAAATTTATGCGCATCTAATTCTTATTTAATAGATTTTAATCCATTCCTAATTTAGCTTAAGTATGTAATTAAATTATCAATACTATTTTCATTTGATTGATTAGTTTAGTAACGAAGACTTTGGATTAAAATGAACCATGTTAGCAAACTATCTATTAAACTAATTAAAATGCATCAAGTCAACCATACAAGAAACAATCAGATTAATGTATAGTCTGTATTCGTTTAAACAAAATTTTAATGATTTCTAAATATTCTTCATCTTTAATTAATTAAAATACAAAAGTTGTATACATTTGACATTATTAAAAATAAATAAATTCTATTGTTCTATTTCATCCAAGTCCCTAATAAACTAAATATATATTTTTTTCATTTCTGTTCCTAGTTCCTAGTTCCAACACTTAAGTGATAATTAATAATAAGTATGTTTAGAGAGAAAAAAATAAAAGAAATATTATTAGTATATTAAATTCAAAAAAAAATCAAAGATTAATGTTACTTTAAATTGTAGAAACTATTATAACAAGAAGATACAATTTCAGGAATTATTTATTCTTATATTTATGGTATAACAACTCATTAAATAAACATTTAGGTATGAATTTTATGAACAAGTGGCATGATTTTCCAATAAACTTAAAATAAAAATAGAGAAAATGTGAGAATTGGAGCTTTAAGAGACTAGCTTTGTAACGTCATAGCAATAGGTGGATCTAAGAAAAAGGAAATTGTATGTATATTGAGTGAGGGTTAGTAGTTGGGTTTCATTGGATATCTGGCCTGGTACCAACCAAATCAATTAAACTACTTTAAGACAAACCTAACCAATTTATTACTATGTGAATCCTCATATTCATAACAAATCAAACATAATAATAATAATCAATTTATTGGTTAGGTTGAGAATTTTCTTTACTGTCTTCACCTGTTGGGCTTTGTAGCTAAAATGTAATATTCCTTCAACAAAACTTGTACCATCACCAAATAATGTAACACATGCATTTCAAATTCTACTTTTCTTCTTATTCATCTTTCAAAATAATCAATAATTCTGTACATGATTCTTTTATTCAAATGGTCAATTCCAGTACCTCATAACGGAACACCACATTAATTTTTGGGTTAGACTAGATTGATTTAATAATGAACTAATGTCACCACAGGTTGAAAGTCAAATGGGTTCATTTAAAAAAAATACTTTTTTTTATTTCTTTACATTAAAATTAGCTTATAAGTAAATTAAAAAAAAATATTTTGTAAATTAAATTTTAATTTATATAAAAATATATTTTTTTCTTATTTTTCACTTTTAAAAATATTTATGAAAAAAATTATTTTGGAATATATGTTACAATTTTTCTGTCTACATTTACGACCCACTTATGCTACGGTGTAAAGGACATTAGTAACATCTATCAACCAATTTAGATTTGACCATACTCCCTTAATAAAATATAAAATAAATAAAAAAACGAATTACGAGAAAAATGTTTCAGATTGACCCAAAACCTGAGCCCAATATGAAGTTGGGCCACATTTTCCATCAATCTAAATTCATGATCTGCCAACAAATTGCACAGGTTAACCCAAATCCAGGTACATGTCCTAGGATACGCGTTGCGAATGCATGCTATTTCTAAAAAATATACTATTTTCTTTCATCAGACGTTATTTTTTAATTTTCTTATTCTTTTAAAATATTTAATTTTAATTATCTTTTATATTAATTAATTTATGAAAATATTCCAAATATAAGTTTAGTCAATAAATAATAAAATTTTGATGAATTAAACAAATATTTTAAATTGGTGTATTTGTTTTTTCATAGTTATCAATGTGGATAAGTTTTAAAATAATTACATAAATAGATAAATAATGTTTAAGAGTATCATTGCACAGAAAATAAGTTATGGTTCCAAATATAATTTTTTTTAAATCATAATACCAAAATGATGTTCAAAACACTACAGTATTAGAATTTGAAAAAAAAAAAAATGATGTTTGGAGTTACCGCTTATTCATTCGCATAAGTAAATTAGACATGTATGGTCATTCACATATGTTTGGAGTTACTCTTTAATTCTTTTCTTGAGAATTAAAGAGTTTAATTTTAAAAGTTAGATCTATTTATTTCATTATATCAATTTTATATCTAATATATATTCAAATAATATAGAAATTTATTTATTTTTTATTATGATAATTTAATTTTTGAACTTTAAATTTAAAATTCACAAAATAAAAAGTATTTAGATTTAAAATTCACAAAGTTATTTGATTTAAAATTGATCCCTCATAAAAAATATTTATTATAACAATTCAATTTTGAATAAACAACTAATTCTGAATCACGTACAAAATGCTCAAGTTTAGACTTTTTACTATGTCACATTCAAACTTGAATAATAATAATAATAATAATAGAAACTAATAATAATAATAATAATAATAATAATAATAATAATTAAATCATTATACTTCAAATTTAAACACCTATGAAGTATTTTAACATACACTTTCGTCGCCATACACTCCTCGAACCTAAGGAACCAATGTATGATTAATGTGTTGAGAACATTTTGACTTTAAAAAAATGAAAATTTCTTTCGTGAAATTGAGAACTCTTTGCCACTAGACACACTCCTTGAACCAAAATTATACGAATGTATAATTTTCTAGAAGATCATGATTTGAGATTTAATTGAGAAAAGCAATTAATTAATTATACTAATTAAGACCGTCTTGGACGTGCAACCAAGATCTATTTAATATAAACCTATTAAAATACTACAAATAGAGAATGATTTCAAAATATACATATCCATGTTTTAAAATGCATAGAAGTCCATGTAAAAAATATATATTTGTCTTTTAAAAATATTGGTTGAGAGTACTTCTTTTATAATTACAGAAAGAGAGAATGAAAGAAAAGTCAAATTTAGATAGAATAATTTAAGAAACCAAGAAATAAAAAAGAATAATTCACAAAAAAAAAAAAAAATAGCAATTGACCAACCATTTTCCAAGCTTAAAATTCACAAACGTGGCCACCACTTAGCAATGAAAGCACGTTCACAAGGAAAGCAAAGCATGCACCAACAAAACCGCAAAAATTACAAAATGAAATAGTAACACAGACAAAGCCCTTTCCTTTTTGCACTGATCGGAATCACCTAGATCACGTAAGGAACACATTTATGAAATCATCAAATTTTAACTGTCCAATTGAAGAGCTAAGTGGGCTTATCTTCATCCAACGGATATAAAAGACTGGTTGTGTGAAAGTGTGTGTTTTCGGAATGCACTGAATCATTTTCCCTTTGTAAGACGTGCATTACACAAATGGAAATACGTTGACCGTTTCTTAGCCTCCAAAATCCATAACGGTAACCGACCTCTCGTTATTCCCTTGATTTCCTCCCAAACCTCAACACAAAGGAACAATTTTTTTCAAAAAATAGCATTGCACTAGTGCTAGTAATTAATTAATTAACTAATCAATTATTAAAAATTATTAAAAAATTATACTGGTACCAGTAATAATAGTAATAATAACAAAAATAATATTGAAAAACATCATATTCCATTTCATTTGACGATTCTCTTCATTTCCCATTCTTTTTCCACTCCATTCCAACCTCGGCTCGCCGATCGCCACCATGGAGCGCCGGAAAACGATAAAAATGAACTGGGATGGCCTCCCCGACGACGATGACGACGAGCATTTCTTCGAGTCCCACAACCGCCTCTCCACCGCCGTACCCAACCACTTGGTCGACGACGAGGAGTTAAACGATTTCGAGCAAGGTCGTCTCTCCTTCGCCTCCACCATGTCTTCCGTGCAGTCCATCAATCCCCGAATGTCAAACTTCACCGCAAACTTCACCGGAAAACCCAACTACGACATCTGGATGGCCGCGCCGGGATCCATCACTGAACGTCGAAAAAAGCTGCTTGGCAGCATGGGCCTCGACGAGAACAAGGAGCTCCTCAAAGCCACCAGCGCCGCTATCGCTCGTGCCATCACCAGAAAATTCGAAAACAACCACACCAACGACACCGCAGCCAACAACAATGCCAAAACCAACAATAACAATTATGCCGTCAAATCCACAGTTAGCGTCCAAAAACAGAAAACAACAAGACAAAAAACAACAAAACACAAAGCAACTCCCTCACATTCTGTTTTCGTCCTCGTCCGGTCACGGTCCGAGAACGACATTGACACCTTCTCCATGGAGAAATCGCGTAAAAACGAATTCATTGGACAGGTATCGAAGCAGCGGTTGACCAGAACCGCTACAGAGGTTACTCGAAGCCGGCATGCCGGCGCCGACAAGAGTCGACTCATTATGAAAGAGGCGGCCGGCGATTCCATTGCGTCGAATCGTCAGGTTGTGACTCCGGCAGTTGGGATGACCGGAGTGGGGGCGTTTTTCTTGATAAAGAATCTGGACACGGGGAAGGAGTTTATCGTGAAGGAATATGGAGAAGACGGCACGTGGAACAGGTTAAGCGATTTGCAAACGGGTAAACAGTTGACGATGGAGGAGTTTGAGCGTACGGTGGGGCATTCGGCTGTGGTGACGGAGGCCATGCGCCGCGCGAACGTGCGCAGCGACAAGAAGCTGTCATCGAACTCGTACATTTCGAAGAGTTTGAGGTTGAGCAAGAGGCATGGGGCGTCGTTGCTGAAAAACATAAAAGGCGTTGCGAGCGGGATCGTGGGGGAGCGCGAGACACCGGCTGCGGCGGTGGTGGAGGCGACGGCGAAGAACGAGTGGGTTCGCGTGCGACAGACAGGGAAGTCGCAGAAGGAGCTGTCGGCGCTTCACTTGTGCCAGGAGTTTCAGGCGCACGACGGATGCGTTTGGACGCTAAAGTTCAGTTTGGATGGGAGGTATTTGGCGAGTGCCGGGGAGGACAAGATGATACACGTGTGGGAGGTGCAGGAGTGTGACGTTATGTCCACGAAGCTCGATGAGGGCAACTCGACCTCCATGGACCGCACGGAGGCGCCGCCATTGTCGGCGGACAAGAAGAAGAAAGGGAAGAATGGGAGCAAGAGAGGGGGCCCTGTTCCCGATTACGTTCAAGTTCCTGAAACCGTGTTTACGCTCTCTGACAGACCCTATTGTTCTTTCACTGGCCATTTGGATGAGGTCTTGGACTTGTCCTGGTCCAAATCTCAGGTCGATTTCATTTCAATAGAAATATTAAACAAATATTTACATGATTGATGATCTCACAGATAAAGAGTTTGAATTATAATTTACATGAATTATGCAAGTTAACGACTGTGCTTGAATCTACAGAAAACACAAAAAACAAAAAAAAAAACTGCGTAATGCAGAAACTATATGTAAATTTATTTTGATTACAATTGATTTTCATGCAAAGTAAATTGTCTTAGATTCTTTTTATCCTTAAAAGAAGTTTGTTTTAAAGCTTATGAACATTTTCGCCTTGCAGTTACTTCTCTCATCTTCCATGGATAAAACAGTGAGGTTGTGGGATTTGGAAACTAAGGCGTGCTTGAAATTCTTTGCCCATAATGACTATGGTGATAACTTCGATCCTTTCTTTCAAAATTCTCTTGGGAGATATGTGGCACATTACTTATATGGGTTGTTATTTTTTTCTTTTTTTGCTATTTGTTGGTGGATTTGGTGTGGCAGTAACCTGCGTGCAGTTCAACCCCGTGGACGAAGATTATTTCATTAGTGGCTCTCTTGATGCCAAGATCAGAATGTGGAACATCTCTGCTCGTCTCGTCGTTGATTGGACTGATATACATGAAATGGTTACTGCTGTTTCTTACACCCCTGATGCCCAGGTATGTTTTTCTTCCCCTGTATGGATATTTCTTATTTGTTATCTCACGTTGGTTCATGGTTTGCACAAATTTTTAATTGATAAAATTTAATGATCTACATTGGCTTTGATAATTGGTTATGTTTTCCCTTTTTTAATTGTTATAGGGTGTTTTAGTCGGTACACAAAAAGGAAACTGTCGAAGTTACAGCATAGAAGGTTGTGTTAATTACTTCACTAGTCTATTCTTTTTGTATATCTCATCCTCAACTATTTTGGAATTTAACAATATCTGCTATGGTTTCAATTCTCCTTTATATATGTTCACCAGATTACAAGTTAAGTCAATCAGGCACAATCGAGCTTCGAAACAAAAAGAAAAATCTACTGAAAAAGGTTACGGGTTTCCAGGTAAATTCTTCTATCTATATAAAAAAATATAGCTTATATGACTGTTTTTATCCATAGAATGATAGTTAACTGGCTTTTCATCTTTTTCACAGTTTTCCCCCAATAACGCAGCACAAGTGCTTATTACTTCAGGCGATTGCAGGACAAGAGTTGTGGATAGTTCACAAGTTGTGCAAAAGTTCATAGGTGATGATGATAATGCATTTTAGTGTCAATCTCTTTTTCTCCTACTTGAAAAATTACTCGAGTTTTATGCCTATATCAACAGAATAGTGTTGTTACATATTAACATGTTGGTGAAAGCAGGTTTTCGAAATGCAAGTAGCCAAATTTCAGCTTCATTTAGTGCAAATGGTAGGTACATCATATGTGCAAGTGAAGATTCACAAGTGTATGTGTGGAAGCATGAAGAGATTCGCTATTCTGGAAAAGGCAGGAATGTGATTGTTAACCAATCTCACGAACATTTCCCATGTAAAGATGTTTCAGTAGCAATACCTTGGGGCGGAAGGAGTGATCAACCACCACAATCGGCAGCGCAAAACCCCAAAAAGAACATCCCAAAACGTCCCCAAGATGACACTTCTTCCCATGGTGCAAACAACAAGAAAATGTTGCCACCTCTTCCAAAGAAAGGTAACCACCAAGCCACAGAAAGTGCCCCAGACTCCCCAGATAATGACCATGCAGCGATCTCACGCACAGAATCTGGAGTTGGATCCGCTCAGAAGAAAAGTAACAACCAATCAATGGAAGGTGACTACACTCCCATAGAGGAAGAACTTGAAGCAATTACTGGGAGAGACACAGGATTAGGTGATTCTTTTGCTTCAGGCTCTGCATCAAGTAGGTTTGGTGGTGACCCAGCTTCTATATCTGCTGCACCAAGTTCAGCAAATGCATCTTCTTCTTCCAATTACTCAGTAAGTGATGGTTCCAATGGTGCCTCATCCATGCAAAATTCAGCATGGGGAATGGTAATTGTGACAGCTGGGTTTGGAGGTGAAATTAGGTGTTATCAGAATTTTGGGCTACCTCGGAGGATGAGACAGACCACTCTCTTTATGGGCCCTGCATAATAATCACATAGCAGTAACATCTTTTTGCCTAGGAAAAATTAACTTAGCGGCATTTTCCTTCTTGAGGAGGAAAGAGTGGAATGCTGGATTGTCATTTGATGTGCAATTTTAGTACCTGTATCCATTTGGTTAGAGTAAGCAATGTTGCTAAAATTATAGACAAATACAAGAAATGCAGATGACATTCATACCCAACATAGGGTAAGAAAAAATGTTCAGCATAAGATTAGAGACATTAAGTTCAGCAATTTTGTTTCTGTTTGCTTGAATTAATAGCCTCAATCAGGTCACTACTAGAGTCAGTCTTGAGGGGTTTAGGTAATATGCTTTGAGGTCATAGATTTTAACCTCAATGCAACAATTGTAAACAAAAAATGAATAGCCTGAGTCTCTCTCAACTTTATTTATCATCTCACTGTAGAGTTTTGATTACTAAGCGTTGTATTATACTCTGGCAAAACAAATGAATAAAAGTTGTCAAACTAAGAGGAAGAACATGCAGAAACAGAAACATATTTCTGAGAGTAGATACCTGGTTTTTTCTATATATTCAAATTAATTGCAACAACACGATGTTTTTGTGTAGGAACAATAAATTTGTCAGTATAATCTTATTTCAAAATTAGTCTTAATATATTTTACTAAATTTTTCAATCCATTACCATTCTCATGTCAATTATCTTTCAAAGTCCTTTATCCTTCACAGACCCATCATCTTCATAAACACTTTTGCCCCATCATGAGGCCCATTCTAATTCTCAAAACAATTACTCTCACCACCCATTATCCGTTACCTTCCTTACCTTTTATCCCATCATCAAACACATTATAATTCTCAACCTCAATAATTATCTTGCACATCTACTACTTCATGGCCAAGTTCATTACTAACCACATTTCAACCCCATGATTTAGCTCATTATCCTCCTTAACCGTATATGTTTCACTATTCAAAGCTGTGAAATATGATGTACGACAAACATAAGCACTTTATCATTTTCTCTTCCTGTCCTTATCGTCCCCGTTGCACCCTTATCATCAACCAACAACAAAAATACCTCATCCAACACAACACCCTGTTCAAAATTTCATAATTATAGTATTGAAAGATATCACTTCTTTGGGGATCATAACCCTCCTCCCTCTAAAGAAACTCAGTCACTGTTAAAGTAAAATATCTTATTAATAATCTTGATCAAATAAAGAGATGCATTTGGTATTGAACTTCAACCAAAACTCGTATATTAATATGAAACACACCATAAAAACTCATAATCAACATGTGAGACAATCATAAAAATAAGAAATCTTTAAAATACATTTCTTAAATCTCTTTAGACAAATCCCTTGACATATGAGTTTTCATGATTTCAAAAAAGAGTGAACCTTTAGCAAAAAAAATACATGCACATGTTAACTCACAGATCTACAAAATCAATTATCAAACATCTAAGATATTCAAAATCACAACACCTTACTAAGTATTTTAATGACAACCTTCATAAAATAAATACATGCATTTGGTAATGAATTAAAGACAAAAACAACATTGTATATTGGATGCAACAAAACACCCACTTTATAACAACAACGCATATATGATATCACAAACTCACATCGAATCAACAATAAATATTTAAAACAATCACAACAAATGAAAATTTCTTAAAATATATTTTCCAAATCTCTTAACACAAACTCTTTCTAGATGAATATTTATATTTTCAATGATAACAAAGAATGATAACAAAACTTACAAAGATTAAATAACATTTTTTTAGCAAGTAAATATAACATTTAAATGTTAAAAAAATATTCCATTAAATTAACTACCACACTTTAAAAAAAAGGAAACTGATATTAAAAATAATAATGAGACGAAATAAAAAATAATAATGAGATAAAATTCTAAATTTTGTAATAATATATTTTTTTAGTAACAACTTTTGTTCCTCACAAAAGAAAAAATATTCATTTATAAATATTATATATGAAATTAAATATAATATATATATATATATATATATATATATATATATATTTAATAATATAATAATAAATTATTGTATTTAATGAAGTTAAAGGTTTAAACTTTATTCAAGTGGGATAATATTATACAAAATATCATTAATGAACCGTTCAGTTAGTTTTTACTTCATCATTATTTTTATCTTTACATAAAAAGACAAAGGTAGAGTTTTTTGATATAAAAAAACATCATGCAGAAAGAAGATAAAATTCAAACAAGAAATATTCAAACCAGAAATCTTTGCAAAATGGCCTTCTGCACCTTTCAACTCATGTTCGTGGGAATTTTATGTGCTGCTTTGGTCTTGACATCAGGTAAGAATTAAAAAATCGATCTTTTTTTTTTTCTTTTAAAAGAATTATATGTTCCCTTTTATTTCTAATTTTCCTCTCCTCAGCGTCTACGCTTACGGATTTTGATTGAAAGATGAATGATACGAAAAATGATTAGAAAACGTCTATGAATGCAAAGTTTTGAATTCGTTTTCTATAATCATACACTGTGCATACCGTATGCTTAAAAATCTTGAATTCAAATTGAATTTGTTGAAATTTCACAAAATGAAAATTAGGGATTGTTTGCTAATTTTCCAATTTTGTTCTTTTTGTAGGGCAACCTGTGACTTGGAGTCCATTGGTGGATTGTGCTGGACCATGCGTGTCTCCAGATAATTGCGTGTTTAACTGTCATAATTTAGGATATAAGAGTGGAGGTTTTTGTTCAATTTTTGATTTTTGTTGTTGTTTCAGAACTTAAACCATATTGTAATCTTTCGTAATGCATGCAACTTAAATAAAACATATCTATGAATAAAAATATTTTCATTAATTTTGGTGTGTTTATTTATCGATAACATTACTAAATTCTCATTATTTTCTAATTTTTTTGAGGATTATATACAAGCTTTATTTTTAAATCAGAACTTGTTTTACTTGGTTGTCTGAGATCATCACAAATATTATTTGTGATGATAAAAATAATAATTTTAAAATTTTAAAATTAAAAACTCACGAAGACGTAATTGAATTCGACTACGAGCACCGAGTGTTATTTTTATTTCATTTTTTTAAATTAAATATTATTTTAAATTATGAACTTTCGTATATTTTAATAGGGTCACCAAAGGTAAATTTTTCATAAAAATTAGAAATTTATTCAAAATATTCGAATTTTTTTTAATTCAATTCCAGATTCCCAATTTTACTCCAAATTATTAAACAAAAGTTAATAGTTCTAATTAGGGTTATTTGAATTCATGTAAAACGGATCATCAAGTTTTTTTTATACCATAACAAATTTCATTTTTTTTAAATCTTATTAAAAATACATGTGTTAAAGTGTATGTATGTTGATATTTTTTATATTATTAATTTTATTTAAAATTATTTTTTAAATTTTATTTTTTTTATAAATATTTCCATTGTTTAGATATATATACTCGTATTTTTTTACTCATTCTACCATATCAAGTTTTTTTTTTATGTTTTTATTATTTTTTAAATCTATAATATCATAATAACCTATTTTTCTACAGTATATCTCTATTCTAAACTTTCATAAAAAATTATTTTTTATATCCTATTTAATAAAAAATAATCATATTTTTATGAGTAACATACCAAAAATCGATGACAGAGTCAAGGGCTTATAGAGTCATTACCCCCACAAAATCTAAAATTATTAATAAAAAATAATAATTTAAGATTTTATTTTATTATTTAAAAAGTATAAAATATTTTATTTTTTTTACCGCTAAATTGGATACTCTGACCCAACCTCTACCAAAAACGATTATAAAAAACAATTCCTATTAAATATATCAAATTATACCACACTATTGAACCAAAAAGTTTTTTTTTTTTTTTTTTCTCTAACAAATCCATGATGACACAAATATAATGATCCAACATCAGAGCTATTGCTATCAACAAAGCAAAAATTCATAGCAGTATATTTTATTTTTTTTTTTTCTCTTGTTTTGTCGAATAGATTTTTTTTTTCTAGTATATATTATCAACAAACTTTTGAGTTTCTGAGAATATTAGTTAAAAAACTACAAATTTATTTAGAACTACTTTTACATTTTTATATATTGAATTCACATGAAACTATTTATCTTATATAAAATATTTCATTGCAATGGATAGGAGACAATCATCCTAATTCTTTTCGTGATTATATTATTGTCAATAAGATTAAATGTTTAATTTAATTATTATGATAATGCAAAGTGTTTAACTCACCACGTATTTGTCTGCCATTTTACAAAAATGCCACAATTTGTCACACAATTCGAATCTTTGTCTATGCTCTCGTGTTCATTTTCATCTTTATCTTTTATTTGAGAAGACATATCAAACACAATTGATAACACACATTCATCGAACATGTGAGTTAAAATAGAGATATCAAAAAGAGAAAATATAACAAGTTTAAAAGAAATCTAATAAATTATAAGATGATAAAATAATATGAATAGGAAAGTAATATATATTTTTTTACAATAAAATAGGAATCAATAATTATTAAGATTCATATTAATAATTTTGTAATCTGGACATTTTATTGAAAATAAATAGTTTTTTTTTAAATCTTATTAATTTCTAAAATAATTAATTTTGAATGTGAAGATTTATAAAAAAAGTGGAAAGTAAAAAGTAATTAATAAAGATAAATAAAATGAATGGTAAAAAAAGTGTCACTCCTCTATAGTATACATATCTACTTTTCATTTATATATGAGTAAAAAAAATGTAAAAAAGTATTATTTTACAAAATTATTCTATTAAAATGAATAATTATTTATTTTTATTATATATATATATATATATATATATTTTTATTTAATTATAATTATTATTTTAATAAAATATGATAAGAGAGAAAGTAATTATAAAGATTAAACAAATAACTTAATATTTTTTTAAAATAATATTATTCTATTAATTTAAACTCAAATAGTTTTAGATTTGTTTATAATTATATATCTAACTATTAATTAATAATTATATAAATAATTTTATAATTGAATAAATATTTTAATTTTAATTTAATTATTTATTATTTTAAAATAAATATATATTTTCTTTTCATATTAAATTTTGAACCAAAATAATTTTTATTTTATTTTATTTTTCTTTCCTTGTTGATAAAATTTCTTTACTAAAATCAATAATTTCAAAAACATTTATTTCAAGTTAAACAAACTGCATAGTTAAATTTAGTGAAACTTTACACTAAATATTTAATATTTTAAACATATAAAATGAAAGTTTATAAGAGAAATCAAATGACACGATGTCGTTTCTTCTTTGTGAAATCCAATTCAAGTTGCGCCTCCCGCGTGCTTGTTTAAAACATTCACATTCTTTCAGACATCTGAGAATGGACCTTCACCTTCTTCACTTGATTCCACCTTCGCACAATTCAAAACCCTAATACTCCCAAAATGTCCTCGCCGCTTACCTACCCTGTGGTGGTCGACGATAAGGACCTCGACGACGCCGCACTGTGGGCCATGATCGACTCGGCCTCCGCCTCCCACTCCTCCAAGTGCAAGGCCCTCGTAACCGCCAAGTTCCCCACGCGCCAGCCCCCTTCTCCGATCTCCAACCCCTCGGCGCCGCTGTCCAAGTTCCGGAAGATCCTCCGCGACTCCGGCGACAGCGGCGAGGTGGTGCACGATCCGTGGCCCTACCGCCCTCCACGGAAGGCCCCGAGGTTGTGTGCCTCCGAAGAGAGCAGCCCGCTCGCGCTGATCAGGAGCGTGCAGAGGACACCGCCGCCGAAAGGATTCTCGTCGCCGGATGCGCAGGAGCTGAGCTGCTATACGGCGGTCTCGCCGGGATACTCTATGAGGAACGAGGCGGAGGAGAAGGAGAGCGGCATGGGGCATGGCTTGCTTGGAATGTTTCCTTCGGTTTCGTTGTTTAAGGAGTACCAAAATGCTGCCATGGCGGTAAATTATCTTGATAACTTTATTTCAGAGTTCGGGTTTTGATTTTGTGGATATATAGATGTAGGAGATGTTCCTCTCTTGGGAATTGAAGTTTCATTTGGATAGCAAGAGTAATAAAGGTTTGCATTGAAGATCAGCTTATGTAGTATCATTGTTTCAGGAGTATCAGTAGGCCTGTGGCTATGGCCCTGAGTAGTGGTTTTCAGCTTGAACCTATAATGTGCTGTTTATAATGGAAAAACTTTGTCCTTTTATTTGTAGTGAAGAGGTGGAGTTTGCTTATCTGAAATTTATTTATCTTTAATATCTTGTGTTTTTTATCACTCGATTAGCTTCCCTGATGAATACGAGCTTTCAATCTGAAAACATTGAGAAGCATTTTTAAGAGCTTATGACTTGCACTGTACAATTAGTATATCAAAGCATTGTGGATTTTATTAATAATTAGGTAAGTTAATGTTTTTTTTTTGTTATGTTCAGTCTTTTGATGTATTTTATTGCTAAGCGTGCTTAGTATGAATCACATTAGATTATAGAGGAAATTTTTTTCCTCTACTTTCTGTGTTTTGTCTGCCATGAACAAATCATGATTGTCTTTTGATGGTTGATTCCTATTTTTCACACTTTTCAACACCCTGTGGTTATCCTGAACAATTCAAATCATTGCATGATATTAGCCTCTTTCTTTATCTGGTTTTCCTAGTCCTAGCTGCTGACGAACATATTTACTTGACTTCCATGACTTGTTGGGTGGCAGCATATGGATAAATTCAAGGATAATCTTTGATATTCCTTTAATTTTTTTAGTTTGTACTTGTTACCTGATGCTCCAAGTTTGAGATTTGCTTTTAGTGGCTGTAATAAATTTTAACCTGTGTTTGCCATAGTTTTGCATATAATAACTGAATAGTATCTATATGCTCTACATTGGATATAATAACATAATAGTAAATTTATACAAGTATATGAAAATAAGAGAGTTGCCTGAGATGTGTATTATTTTTTTTTTGTTTTCTTTTCACTCAGGAAGGAATCACCTAATCAATTCTTTGTTATGTCGTCAATGTTCAGATTTTGGAGAAAAATGATTACACTTTGATTTCGGGGAATCCTTTCATTAAGAAGTCAGGTAAATATAGTTTGGCTTCTCTTAACAGTGAAAATGATATAACTGATGCAACATGGCAGGGCATGTCTTTTTTTAGGTTGGAGAAAGATATCTTGTTACTTCAATATTTCTTATGAAATCAGGGATAAAAATATTGAGTTTGATGAGAATCGCAATGTTCAGCGTGCTGAGTTTGTGATTCGTGCGCACATGCAGTATGTGTCTCGTTTGGTTGTTTCAATTCATATATCTTCCAAATGATCTCTTTTCTCATCACAGTTTCTGCTGTTTCTGTTGATTTTCATTACATCAGGGGTGGCAGGTTCTCAGATGGATGGGGCTCTTGTGATCGACGAGAAAAAAGATTCCAGAAACCAAATCATGATGTTCCAAGCACCGCAGAGACTAGAGCAAAAAATAAAGCTTGTCAAGTATGCCCCTCTTGTCATGTTCTATTTTCTGATTTATGCTGTCAATCATTTCGTGTGAATTTAGCTGTTTATGTGAACACTAGAGGGTTTTATTCAAATTACATTTCCATTAAAAGCCTTCAGCGGAAGCTTAATCAAACTTCACACCAATAGCTATATGTCACAGAGATTTACGAGAAATTTTTTCATAAACATTTACAGAAAAGAAAAATAAGAAGAAAAAATGAAATCGATTTCTCCATAAATTAAAAGTAGTTTACCGTATAAGGTAATTTGTATACATTTTTTTAGTTTTTCTGAAATCTGATTATTAACTTACATATAATTTGATTTTGAGTTTATGAAGAAGTTGATTTTTTTTATTGAAATGTTTATACAGAAATTTCTTCCAGACAAGCCCTAAATTGATCCATGTCAAACTGGAATTCGTACAGATATGTAGAATCAGCATTGATGCGCACCCAAAATGTGTTTCTGTCCTCTAGTGTTTTGTTATGCTTCATAGAACGGGGATCTTTGGTTTCCAAATGTTGGTGTTTTTCTCAGTGCCATGCTTAGAAACTATGGGTCACATTAGGCAAAATTTTTCGAAAGACTTCAAAGAAGGATAAGAGAGAAATTTGGAAGAACTAACACATTTTGAAGAGAGAACAGTGAATCAGAAGTTGTGTAATAAATTAAAAAAATAATAAGTTATATAATTTTGGAACTGGTCAATAGTATCTAACAATAATGAAATTATCCTGATTTTACCTCCAGGTAGTGTGGGCTTTTCTCTACATTTCTTTCTAATTAATGTTAATTTTTTATTTACTTCTTAAAACACGTTGACTTCTTTTCATAACATATTTCCTTTCCTTATTTTAAATGTTATGTAATGTGCTTTATGGAAATTGTGAGAAAAAAGATAGGCAATTTAGATAGATAATACTGTATTATAAATAGAAAATAGTGAGTGAGAAGAATTTCGACTCTTTAAGACAAACTTGCCTTAATTGCTTTTAGTTAGTGTCGGTGTTTATGTTTGACAGACTCGTATGCAAGTTTAATTAGATGCTTGATCTTTTATTCGGCTTATCGTGACCCTTGGCATTACCATTAATCATATTTTTGGTTGGATAGCTTAATCAGTGAAGCTCGCCGTTTCATTCCTTAGTATTTAAGGATGAAAATCTTCCTTAGGTACCTCATAATTTAAGGTTAAATTGATTACCTTCAATAAGTTACACAGCTGCTTTAATCTAATTTCTGTTCTTGTGCTATCCTGTTGCCTTTTTTTTTCTCCTTAAACTCCTTCCTCTGATTGTTCCTTAGGACGGTTGAAAAGAAGAGCTGGTTTGCTAACTTAAACTAATCACTTTATCCCATTGTTATAATTTTACAGGATTTGCTTGGAATTGGGGAATATCGACCCGGTGCAACTAATCAGTTTCATTGATCTTATAAATGACTTTGGCAATTTAACTCAGTCTTAATATTTGTTGCGGGGTAAATTTTTTTCCTTGATGTATATTATAAATCTCGAATTGCTGCCATTTAGAACGTATTTGGTGTTCAACATTTCATTGTACAAGATACTAACAGAGTTTCGAATAGAAACTGCTGCTATTCAGCACGAACAACCTGTTATTAATTTGATGAATTTAAACTAAACAAATAAATTCTAACATGATCACACGTAAGAGCATTTTTTTTATTGACTGATTAGCGGTGACACTTGACAAAACATGTTAACTCTCTTGCTTCGATACAAGTAGAGTAAATGGAGATTTATGAAAAACCTTATTAATGGTTGAGTTAGTAAGTTGAATTGCCAGAACATTTTGATTGCGGGAGGATTTTATAGAATAAAAATTAATCATAAATAATTTGTTAAAAAACATAATATAATATTATAATAGATGTTTCAAATCAAACAGTTAAGAATGATAGATAACAATAATAAATAAATAAATATAAAGAATTGATAAACTACTGTTATTTTTAGAGAGAGAACGTCTTTACTATATTGGTAATATTTCTTACTATATTGATATAACATTCGTATGCTGAGAAAGATCCTCGGAACAATAAACACCATTCCATATATTTAGAAGAGAAAGATAGTTTTAAATAGAAATAAATGTCAATATTATTTTATCTTTTCCTTTTTCTCATATAGGAGTATTTATAAACCTAAGACACTTAAAAAAAAGGGTCAAAAGTACAAAGTCAATTCCTCCACCAATATAAGAGTCACTAAATATCTTAATAAGTGAGGGAAATATTTAGTCAAATATTTAAAATAATAATAAATATATAAATACAATTTAATTTTTTTTTTAACATTCTCCACAGTTTAAAGTTTAATTAAAGAAAATGATAAAAATATATTAAAACATAATTTTTTTAAAATTGAAACATGATATATTATATTTTCAATATAAGGAACCTTTCGATTTTCAATTATAACCTAGTATTTATGAACCTCTCCTTGAGAAAAATGTAAAGATTAGATTGTTTTGAGCTTCATCTCCTTTGATCAAGCTCTAGAACACAACATGATATAATAAATGTGTCAAAATACTCATCTCATAATATGAGTCCATATAATGAACCAATAATAAACATGTGAGATAATCACAATAAAGAAAAAAAAATTTAGAACTCAAATATTTTTACACAAATTCCTTGTCTGTTGGGGGTTTACATTTTAAAAAAATAGTGGACCCTGACAAAAGGCAAATCCACGTGGTGATACACAAATCTATCACGATAACCATCAAACGCGTAAGATATTCCAAATAATAACGCCGGACCAAAATTAATAATACCTTACCAACTAAGCATTTTAATATCAAACTTGATCAAATAAATGATATTATTTAACCCACCAAATATAATATTTAAATATTAAATAAATTTAAAACTTATTCCACTCCATTAACTCAATAATTTTTACTTCATTAAGTATGATTACCATACTTAAAAAAAATTAAATCAATTACAATAATAATAATAATATAATTTTTTTTAAAATATTAAATAATAAGATGAACCTCTAAATTTTAGAATAATTAGTTTTTGAATAATAATTTATTTGTTGTAAAAAAAAGTAATAATTTCTTTAATAATAAATATTATGTATGAAAAGTTAAATACGTATATAAAATTTAATAATATTTTAATAAAATATAGTATTTTATGAATTTGTAGGTTTTATTTTGTTGTTAAAGTAAAGTATATTATATGATAAATTATTAATTGACAGTTGAATTAGTTTTAATTTATTATTATTATTTTCATCTTTTACAGCTAGACACAGAGTAGATTTTTGTTATAAAAAGCATTCTGCATAAAGAAGAAGATATAATAATTCAAATAAGAAATCCTTGCAAAATGGCTTTCATCGCCTCTCAACTCGTTTTCATGGGAATTTTATGTGTTGCTTTGATCCTCACATCAGGTAAGAGTTATAATTTTATTTAGATCTTTTATAGAAAAGATTATTATACATAATTTATAGTTAAACGTTTCAAATTCATTTTGAATTTGTTCAAATTTCACAAATGAAAAACTAGAAATTATTGCTAAATTTTCACTTTGTTCTTATTGTAGGGCTACCAGTTACTCTGAGTCTATTTTTAGACTATGCTGGACTATGCAGATCTGAGGATAATTGCATGTTTAACTGTCATAATTTGGGATACCAAAGGGGGGGTTATTGTTCATTTTTCTTATGTTTTTGTAGTAGAATTTGAGCCAACTCAAATAAAACATATGCATCAATAAAATCTTTCAATTAAATTTTGGTCCGGTTGTTTATAGATGCAATTAATATTTTCCAATTCTTCTATAGACTTACGTGAATCCTTGTTTTCAATTTTTTTTTTTTTTACTTTATACTGGAACATGAATGTATGTTTATGATCTTGCTTAACTTTAAATGACATATACTTAATTTTTTTACTTCTAGATAAACTTATAAATAAAGTTTTTAAATATTTAAACAAATACTTTTATAAAAAAAACATTTTAAATATATTAAAACTATAATTTTTTCATTTTATGAAATTTTTTATGCTCTTAACTTTGTATTATTTAGATCTTGACTTTCTGTCTCCAAAGTTTAATATATTTACTTTGTGTTGTGAGATGATAAGTATCAATACATGTATTCTAGTTGTATTCTAGTTGTGAATGTTGTTTTTGTGACTATGCATTAGCGAACCGGTTTCTTTTTTCATAATTATATCATATTTGAAATAGGTGAAAAAAAAATATAAAGTTTTAATTGTTAAAAAAATAATACGAAACCGTTTTATTTTTATTTTTTTAATTATGTATTTAAATGAGCTACGAAAGATAAATTGTCCATAGTTCAAACCCAAGATACCATCATGAATCTTAAATCTATTTTTTTGCCTTGAAAATGTAATGTAGCATGTGAGAATACCATTAGTAGCATGAACATTGCCACTTTGTTTTGTTTTTTATTAAGAGGATTAGTTTATAAGTCTTTTTCTTTTAGGTTTAAAAACATAAATTTCAACTAGTACTTTAAAGTTCTTAAAAAACAAAAAATCAGATTTCAATATAAGAATTTGAGATAATAGATTATACATTATTTTCATTTATATATGTTACTCAACAAATTTATTTGTACATATATGATTTCAAATCACATTAATAGCTACCATTTAACCATAAGACATGCAACAATATCATAATATAGCTTTAAAATCATTTTATATCACATTTAAAAAATAAAAAAAATTCAAAGTTAGCTTTCTATTCTAAATATCAATGGTCATATAAATGTTATCTCGTGAAATGTTGGGAAGATGGTGAAAAATATTGAAAAGTCTAAAAATAAATAAAGGTCTAAAACCTAATAAATACGATATATATTAATAATTAATTATAATGATCATAAATACCATAGATTTAAAAAATAAATAAATAATTTTTACAATAAATCGTATTTTAAAATATGACTTAAAAAAACAAGTCATATTATAAAATATAACTTTTACTATTTTTTTCAATTTCTAATATTAACATCGTATTTAATTTTTTTATTTTCATTAATCATTAATAATATTTATTATGATATTATTATTTATTAATATATTTATTTATTTTATTATTAGTATATTTACTGTTTTTATTATTGTTGTTTTTTTAAGTGATAATTAGTATAATAATAATTTTAATAAATAATAATAAAATTAATAAATTCAATATTAATAATAAATTTCTAACTATATAATAATAAAATATATAATTATAATTATAGGAATAAATAATAAAATTAATAATAGTAATTGTAATGACCCTAGAAATCGTTACTATAATGATGTCTTCGCAAAGTAGTAAACAAGTAAATAACGACATCTATTTTCGAAATCATTAAATTATTATTTTGCCCTTAATCTTTTCTTAAAATTTCATGTATATCCCTAAATGACTATTTTACCCTTGTTCATTTTTAAAAATTTCTTCCATGTCCCGAAAATGACTATAAAAATTATGAAAATATTATTATAATTATAATTATATAAATAATAGTAAAATTTTAGCCATGTATATTGTATATTAATGATTATAAAAATTATAATTAATAATATTATTGTATTAATTATTTTATTATTATTATTATTATATTTAATAAATTATAAAAAATATTATTATAATTATAACTATATAATAATTTTAGCCATGTATATTGTATAATAAATTATTTATTAGTGGTTTAAATAGTTTTTTCTTATTATTTTTATCTTTACATATAGTAATACAAGTGGAGTTTTCTTATCAGTATTATTTTCATCTTTACAGACATAAAGGTAGAGTTTTATTATAAAAAACATCCTTTTTAAATGTTGAAGATATAATTCAAATCTGAAATCTTTGAAAAATGAACTTTTGTTTTCCTTAGAATTTTATGTGCTGTTTTGGTCTAGCATTATATAATAGTTAGAAAATTTATTTAGATATTTAAAGTTGATGTGTGTGCATATTTATGAATTTTAATGGAAGAGTGAGTGATACAAAAAATCATTAACAAATGTTCTATTTGAATTTGTTTTTATAATCATATATAATTTATACTTTATCGTCTCAAATTTAATTTAAATTTATTAAAATTTTACAAAAAGAAAATCATGAATCGTTTCTTATTGTGGGACAACTTATGACTGTGAATTGAGTTAGACTACATACATACTTGTCATAGTTTTGGATATATAAAGAGGAATAAGTTTACATATATTATATTGTTGTTTTAGAACTTAAGTCACATTATACTGTCTAGTAATTTATCCATGTCAAATGAAACATGTTCATGAATACAAATATTTCGGTTATTTATCAATAATTAGTAAATTCTTATTATTTTTATATTTTTCCAAATTATTTCTAAATAGTTTTTTTATTTTATATCAATTATAATGATTAAATTTATATGATATATACTTAATTTTTTAATTCTGATTAAATGAGGACTCACGTTTTTTAAAAACAGTGGATCACTAACAAAATAGACATGGTGACCCACAAGTCAATAATAGTAATCATCAAAAGTGTTAAATACTCCAAACCACAGTCTTACCAACTAAGCATTTTTATGCAACAACACAATTATCTCATAATAGTAAATAAAACCCCACTAACAACTCGGAAACAACAATAAACCTATGAGACAATCACAACAAACAAAAATTTAATAAAACTCTCAAATCTTCTTGCACAAGTTTCTTATCAAATAGTTGGTCGTTGAATACACGCGGTGATACACAAATTTATCATAATAATCATTAAACGCATAAAATATTCTAAACTGTAATCCCTTATCAATTAAATATTTTACGAGAAATCATGATTAAATAAAGACATATATTTGATATTGAACCAACAACGAAATTAATATTGTATTATACATAACAAGACACTTACCTTATAATATAGGTGCCTAAAACCCCATCACAAATCCATAATAACCAACAATAAACATGTGAGACAATATCATAAACAAGAAGTTCTTAGAGAGGGTCTTTCAAGTCTCTTTATACAAACTCCTTTTTAGATGAGTTTTTACATTTTCTAAAAATAGTGGACCACTAATAAAAAAAAACATATCTACACAAATATAAAATATTTTAGTCTATATCCAACCAACTAAGAATTTTTTTACAATCTTAATTAAATAATTAATAACATTGTTTTAACCCACCAAATATAGTATTTAAATATTAAAACAAATTAAAAATTATTCCACAGAATTAACTCAATAATTTTCTCATCAAATTGAAATCAATTTGATAATGAAAATAATAATAGGATAAAATTAAAAGAAAAATTATTAAATAATACAATGAAACTCTAAATTTTATAATAACTTTTTCAATAACAATTGATTTGCTGTCAAATGAAAACAAAAATAATTTCTTTGCTGTCAAATGAGAAAAAAAGTAATAATTTCTTTAATAAATATTATATATAAAAAATTGAATATGTAATAAATGGATATATCAGATAATAATATTTTAACATATTCTAGTATTATAGGTTTTAACTTTATGATTAAAGTAAAGTATATTATATAATAAATTATTCTTTAACGGTTTAATTTGTTTTTACATCATTATTATTTTCATCTTTACAGCTAGACACAGAGATAGAGTTTTCTTATAAAAAGCACCCTTGTAAAAATTATAAGATACAATTCAAATAAGAAATCTTGGAAAAATGGCCTTCTCTTCCTATCAACTTGCTTTCCTAGGAATTTTATGTGCTACTTTGGTCCTGACAATAGGTACGAACTAGAATTTTTCTTTAAATCTTTTAAAGTTGGTCTGTGTGCACGTTTATGATATTCAATTGAAGAGTGGGTGATATAAAAATTATTAGAAGAGATCTACGAATATAATATTTTGAACTTGTTTTTATAGTCATGCATAATTTATACTTGATTATCTCAAATTCATTTTAAATTTATTGAAATTTCACAGAAAGAAAACCATGAATTGTCATTAATTTTTCAACTTTGTTCTTATTGCAGGACAACCAGTGACTGCGATTCTATTTCCAAGCTGTATTGGACTATACCCATCTTCAGAAACTTGCGTGTATACTTGTCAAAATTTGGGATATGAAAAGGGGGTTATTTTATTTTATTTATATGTTGTTGTTTTAGAACTTGAGGTACCTTGTACTTTCAAGTAATGTATTCAACTTAAATAAAACATATTCACAAATAAAAATATTTTCATTAGTTTATTGGGGTTGTTTATCAATGCAATTAGTAAATTCTCATTATTTCTATAATTTTTGAGAGGCTAATATTTACTATTATTTTTAAATATAATTTTTTTTATCTCATACAAAGATCAGCATATGTTTATAATTTTGATTAAATTTATATGATATATACTTAATTTTTTAATTCTAGAGAAACTTATAAATAAAATTTTTAAAGGCCTAAACATTTTTTTATTATTAAAAAGTATTTTAAATGTATTAAATCATGATTTACTCATTTTATAAAACTATACATTCTTTAACACTGTATCACTTAAATTTTGACTTTATGTTTCTCAAGTTTAATATATTTATGTTGTTATCTACGAGATAAAGTATGAATAAGAACTTTGTTTTGATTGTTATTTGTAATGAGAGGCATTATCAAATAATTTTTTTTAATAATTATATCAAATTTGTAATAAAAAAATATAGACTTTTAATTTCTTGAACCATTTTCACTAATTACAAGATAAATATTTTATCATAAGGATGTTATAATAAGTAAAAATTGTTTGGCCTTAAAACTCCATACAAAAGTATTTGTATAACTAAATTGTAAAAAATCAAGTTTGACATCAAGATCTTGAAATAATGGTACAATGAAGCTCTACTTTTTAGTTAAAGGGACTGGAGTAAGAAATTCATTAAGCTCAAATAGTTAATATAAATTTCCATGTTCCAAGCAAAATATTAAGCATGAGAATATGTCATTATTTCCATTAATCAGTTGACATTATTTGACAAATTCTTGGTATATGAAACAATTTCCTTCAATTATGTGTTTTCTATCATTGTAACTTAACGAAAATATCAAATGTAGTGGTAGAATATATGGGTTTGCAAAAAATATGAAAATAACGATAAAATATATTTAATTATCTCTACAATTTTATTTATTATAATTCTTTAAGAAAAGTTGTTATAATTCTCATTCATAAGTTGATTTTCCTATTATGCAAGAAGACACTTAACTTATAATACTAGTAAATAACGTTCCACCAAAAATCTAAAATAAATCCACAATAAAAATGTGAGACAATAACGATAAACGAGATTTTTTAAGAACGCGTCTCCCAAATCTCCTTGCTCAAATCCTTTTGTAGAGGACTACTCATGTTTAAAAAAATTAAATATGTAATAAATGTATATAACATATAATAATATTTTTATATATTCTAGTATTATAGGATTTAACTTTATGATTAAAGTAAAGTATATCATACAATAAATTATTCTTTAACTATTCAATTAATTTTTACATTATTGTTATTATTATTATTATTTTTATCTTTACAGCTAAACACAATGATAGAATTTTCTTATAAAAAGCTCCCTTATAAAAAGTAAAAGATACAATCCAAATAAGAAATCTTCGAAGAATGGTCATTTGTTCCTATGAACTTGTATTATAGGAACTAGAAATTTTATTTAGATTTTTTAAAGTTGGTGTGTTGCACGTTTATGATATTCAATTGAAGAGTGAGTGATATAAAAAATTATTAGAAGAGATCTACAAATGTAATGTTTTCAATTTGCTTTTATAGGTATATATTATGCATAATTTATACTTGACTATCTCAAATTCATTTTAAATTTGTTGAAATTTCACAAGAAAAAAACCATGAATTGTTGCTAATTTTTCAACTTTGTTCTTATTGCAGGACAACATGTGAATGTGAGTCCATTTGTAAACTTATATTTGACTATGTCGATCTCCACAAACTTGCATGAATACTTGTCAAAAATTGAAATATGAAAGTTATTGTTTTTTATTTATATGTTGTTGTTTTATAACCTGAGACACGCTATACTTTCGAGTAGTGTATCAATTGAAATAAAACATACACATGAATAAAAGTATTTTCATTAGTTTGGTGTGGTTGTTTATCAATACAATTAGTAAATTCTTATTTTTTTTTTTATAATTTTTGAGGGACTAATATTTACTATTATTTTTAAACATAAGTTTTTTTATCTCATAATCAAAGATCAACCGGTGCTTATTATTTTGATTAAATTTATATGCTATATACTTAATTTTTTAATTTTAGAGAAACTTTTAAAGGCCTAAATTTATATGTTATAATTCTTACCAAGCATATGTCCATTCTCCTCATCCATTAACTGATTATTTTAACACATTCTATCCATCGTCAAACCCATTTCAATTCTCAACACCATTATCTTCCATACATGCAACCCCATCACCTTTCTTAAGTCTCATTACTCTTTGTCCCATCATCTGGCCTATTATTATCTTCCACATCTTCTATCCCATCTTCCACATCTTTCAATTCAACCCCATCATTTATCCTCCTCGACCTCATGTGCATAACAAATCTAAACACTTTATCATTTCTCTTTGTATACCTACAATCTCCATTGCACTCTTGTCATCAACTAAAAACTCTCCAATTTGTGATCCGCAACATCACACCCTTCAAAATACCAATTTTCCCATGGTGCACCATAACCTAAAGAAAAAACCTTCTACATCATACACACTGTAGAGCCCTTAAAAAAATGAAAATATAAAATTCATCTTTAAATAATATCAAATACATAACAATACATGTTTTGGCATAAAAACAGTGAATCACTGGTAAAAAATATACGGCGGCTCATATATCTACGATAATAATTATCACACACAATCCTACCCATTAAGCATTTTGACAATGTTGATTGAATAAAGACACCCGTTTTCCATTTAACTAAGGAAGACAAATATAATATATTACAAATAAGAAATTCACCTTATAATATGAGTACAGAAAATCCAACTACAAACCAATATAATAAACATGTCACTCAATCACGATAAACAAGAAATCTTTAAGACGCATTCCCTTTCTAGATGGACGCTCATGTTACCGAACCAAACACAAAAATAATATTATATTATATTATATGCAACAAGGTAGTCACTTTATAATATCAATACATAACGTCCCATCATGAACCCAAAATAAACATGTGGGGCAATCTTGATAAAACAAAAATCTTTAGAACACGTCTCCCAATTCTCCTTGCACAAGTCTCTTGGTGGATGAATGCTCATATTTGATAAAACAATAATGATGTGGGATATTCAACTGGGGACTATTGTTCATTTTCCATATTTTGTTGTTTTAAAACTTGAGTTTATTATATTCTCAAATAATGCATCCAACTCAAAAATAAAAGTATTTCTTTTAATTTTGGTGTGTTATTTATCAATGCAATTAGTAAATTATATTTATACTGTATTCCACGTGATAAGTATGAATGGGCGTAACAGCGTAGTTGTGTTGAGTTTGTGATTTCTGATACATTAACAAACCGTTTTTTTTTTAATAATTATATCAAATTAGAAAAAGATGAAAAATATAGAATTTTAATTGTTTAAAAAAATAATACGAAATTTAAAAACTTAATAAATTTAGGCATGTTGCTTTACTTATGTCAGCCATGATTGATTTCTTTCTAACAAATATATCTTTAAGGATATGTCTAAATATATATATATATATATATATATATATATATATATATATATATATATATATATGTTTTGTTTTTTTGTTTTTAATTATAATAGGCTATGAGAAATAACTTGTTAATAAAGGCTAAGAGACCCTTGATTTAAAATCTTAAATCTGTTTTGTTGCTTTTAGTTTGGCATGTGAGAGCTACAACGAGTAGCATAAATGAACATTAACGCTCCGCTTTTTTTGAGATTAAGAAGATTAACGTATAACTCTTTCTATTAACAAACTTCCTGATGTGTAGAACATGAAACAAAATGAACTTCACAAACCCTTCCACGAGGTTATAAGTTTCTTCAAAACATAATCACTTTGGTTTCAATCTGGATTTTAAATTTCTTTTTAAAAAAAATAAAAAACAGATTTCAGTTTAAGAAACCGAACTAATCGTTATTTTAAAACCATATATAAAATGTGTTTTTTTTTAAATCGTACGTTTTCTTTCTGGTGGAAAACTTTATTTATATATATTGTTATTCACCTCAATGTAACATGTTTGGAAACATTGCTAGAGAGATTTTCGATTTGATATAGGAGATTGGGATCTATAGCAATTCACTTGTACTCATTTAAGTTGAAATGTCGGTTCTTAACTGATATTATTACTTCTTTTTTTTAATCAATGAGACATGATTATCAAGACAAAAATTCCATACAGGAAAAAAAATTCAATATTCAATAACATTTCAAGACAATAAATTTTAAATTATTTCTACTTATATACTATTTAATAAACTAATTGTTACACATTAAAAATTCCATCTAACAGGTAAATTAGATCGTAACATATTTTAATATGTGATTTCAAGTTAATTAATTGCTACCATGTAACCATAACACATATGCCACAAATAAGATTGATTGTTAATTAATTGCTATCATGTAACCATAAAAATAAAATTCAAAACTTTCAAATATTTTTTATTCTAAATCTCAGTGGTTATAAAAAATAAATAAAAGTCTAAAACTTAATAAATAAGATATATTTTTTAGACTAGAGAGGAGAACCATATCATATAATATTATAAAGGTATTTTTCCTAATAAAACTCGGGGATTTTCGTAACCCTGCTGTGTAAAAATTGGATATGCATTTGAAAAAGGTGTTCGAATTATTATATATATCATGACCGATATGGAAATGAATATCTCTTCCTTTATACAAGAACAAATATTTCTAGTTTGCATGATCTGATCATTGATTCTGAAAATTTCAATAATAAGATTAGGAAGATCACTCTCATAGTTCCCTATCCAAGGTGGGAACCTCTTTTTAATTTAAGGGGGTTTGGAAAAATAAAAATTATCTTTTTTTAGCTAAAACTTTTAAATTAAAATTGGATAAGTAAATCGATTTTTCTGCCACGAAGTTGTGTTTAAAAAAAATTAAGAGAAAATTATATATATATATATATAATTCATTATATATATTTTTTTCTTTTGTTTTTCAGCGCTCAATCCCGTCCATCTTGATCATTTGGTAGTTGTACTTGGCCATTTTCCAAATTTGTTACAAGTCTCTCATTTTGATGCTCCTAATTGAACCAACTTTAATATTAGGATATAATGGTGTCTAATTCTCCATGTTGCATGTATTGCATCAAGCTCCTCCCATTTGAACTAGGACCTGTTGATCACCTTTGAGAATCACTTTGTTCTTCTCGATATCAATAGTTTGCAAAATCAGCCAACCTCATGGTCAAAGAAACATATTGATTCATATGATCACCGAAAATGGACTTTTGCATGAGCTGGTAACAATAAATTGTATGCAAACAGAACCCATTTTCTTCGCAATTGGAAAAAATATAAAATACCTTATTGCTACCTTCTAATTACTTGTTAAGTTATTGAATTTTACCTTATATGCATACAGTTTCACCAAAATCATGTCCCCTTTTTTGAACTCCTACTATTTTAGTCTGCATTCGTCTTCATAATTTCTTGTGCTTTACTTGAGTATTACTTCAGTTAAGATGTGATGAAATTGAACTTGAACAAATAATTGGTCTTTATACTTCCACGGAGAGTTATGAAATTTCTATCTACATAGAACATTATAACGTCAATGAACTATAATCTTATATATGAGATCTAGAGTCGCTAGCCAAGTAGCTCCAAAAATTGGCAAAAGATATAAAAGTAGACATAAAACATATCGTTGTATTTGTATTTGAACCTTCCAAATTTTAATCATCCCTTCAATTATCAATGCATCTTCATTATCTACCAAATCTTAGAATCTAGAAGCTTGTTCCACAGTTAGTTTAATTTGTAATTTTTGGTTGCAAAAAATGACGAGAGCTCTTAATTTTAAGTAGGATGGTAAAACGGGTCAGTCTGTCTCGTTTTGGCCCGTCCCGTCTTTGGCCCGCTAAAAGTGGGGCGGGGCGAGCTGGTCCGATATAGTCATGACGAATCAGAACCTTGGCCCGCCTCGTCAAGGCGGGTTGGCGGCTGACCCGCCATAATTTAGAAAAAAACAATTTTTTTTAAATAAATTTTTTTAATAAATTTAATAATAAGATTATTATTTATTTGTCAATAATTCAATATATATATATATATATATATATATTATTTCAATTTAATAATATAAATCAATACATTATTTTAAGAAAATATAATTTAGAACAATAATAAAATTTACATAATAATAAATAATAACAAATATATATATATATATATATATATATAACGTTAAACTTATAAAATTTATATTTTTTATATTGAAAAATTCAAATACCTATATCTTTTTTATTTGATAAAATTTCGTATTATTCTTGGTTGAGTAATTCTTACACCTTTAATTCAAGTAATAAGGATAAAAATAATCAGTGCTTAGGATAAACAAGGAGAACAGGAGAGAAGGTTATGTTTTAGGAAGGAGAATATTTGTTGTGAGAATGAAACTTTTTTAATTCTCTTTTTAAAAATTTTAACTTTATATATTATCTTTATATATAATTAATTTTATTACAATAAAAAATTATTTTTGTATTAATTAGATGGATCGTGGCTGGCTCGCCCGTCCCGTGGGTTGACCCGACGGGTTGGCGGACTTGACGAGACGGGCCAAAGCGGATTGGTGAGCTGAAAACACTAACTCACCCCGCCATATTATGACGGATTGGCAGGCCGGCCCGCTGAGTCTGACATGTTTTACCATCCTTAGTTTTAAGTAAAATTTAAACTTATGTTTCATTAATAATGTCGTTAAATTTTATTGTACCAACGCCACATCTCCTTTTAGTGCATTAAATTAAAGATGATGGTCCAAAATCACTTCCTCATTTGAATCATGTTCTCATCATGTGGATTAGGTTCCGCATACATGTTCTTCTCTTCGTTCATATATATAAAAGTAAATATTGCTTACTGAGACATTTACGTGCGCACGTGAAACATAAACCTTGTTTCATCTTAGTTATATATTCGCTGGGACATTTTTCTAAGATTAGAATTTCATTCTTAGGTTTCGGTAATTTGTATATTGGTCGGTGTAGGTAAAAGTGGGGAAATCTTAGTAATGTTCTATGTAGTCACGAAGCTTTTTAGGAAGTAAAAAAGTCATGTTATTTCTAAAGTTTATTTATATATATATTATTTTAATATCTTAATTTTAATAATCATTAAATATATCTATTTATATATTTATATAAATATATCTCTTATTACTTGTATTGTATGTCTGGGAAGAAGTATGGAATGTAATTCTGGTATATAGTTGGGGGCCAGGTATATAGAATCAACAATTTCTACATAAACACTAATTATTAGAATACCTTTATAATTAATATAATCAAATATAAATATAAACAAACATATGCTGTTATATTTTTAATTAGTACAATAAAAGTTTAAGACTTCAAGAAAAGAGAATCAAACATAAATTATTAAAACTACACAATCTACTCATACTCGATATGATAAACTTATGCAGAAATTTAGAGTAAATAACTTGAATGGTGCAAAGAAAGAAAGAAATAACAAGAGAAATTAAAGTGATATGATGAACCTTAAAATAGTATAGGAAAAGGAAAGCTGGTGAATAGATACGGGAATAACTTAATTTCATTATAATTGTCATTTTTTTAATAATTTTATCAAATTTGGAAAAATAAAATAAAATATAGAGGTATTAATTTTTTGAACTATTTGTACTGATTAAAAAGAACGAAAATAAAAAAAAATTATAAAATGTTATAATAAATGAAAATTGTTTGGCATTAAAAATTCAACAGTATTACACCATTAAATCAAGCTTGACATGACTGAAAAAAAAAAGGAGTAATAAAACTCATGAAATTGATTCTAAGAGATTGCAACAAGACATTTATTAAGACAAAAAAGATAATATCATTTTTCATGTTCTGAACAAAATACTTAGCATCAAATAGCTCTATTGTTTCTATCGATCGATTGATATCATTTTATAAATTATTAGTATTGGAGGTAATTTCCTTCAATTGAGTGTTTTCTGATATAGAAACTCAACAAAAACATCCAATTCAGTGGTGGAATATATATATTTATAGAAAGAATGAAAATAATGATAGAATACATGTAACTATCTCCACAATATTATTAATTATAAAGAAATTAAACAAAATATTATAATTTCTGTGACGTATGCCTTATATTATATTAATATTACTGTGCAAGAAAACTTCGTAACGAAGTTTTCCTCATGCACAGTAAATTTTTTTATTATATATGAATACTGAAGCGGGGGAGGAGGGGCATCAAAATTTTCTTCTCATCTTTCTTCTTCTATTGTCTAAATTTCAAGCAACGAGACTCTACTCGTGCAGGATCTGGTGAAACGGGAGAGAACTTGAATTAAGTGGGAAAACTTCGGTAGAAATACCATACCAGGTAAGGGGAAGTTTAATTCATTCAATATATGAAATTGAATTGTTGGTACTCTGTAAATAAGGAATAGGAGTAGAGATATGAATGATTGGAATGTATGATTTTGAAGAATGTCTGATTTTGAAGAATGTCTGTTGCAGAATTTCTGATTTTGATGAACTGTTCACCGTTTAAAAGTTTTAGAAATTCTTGAAATTAAGGATGAATTATATAATAAAAGTGTTGTTTTTAACTTAAATTGAACATGTTTATGGTTTAATTTTGATTTGGAACTAATTTGGGTGATTGAAACTGAGAAATTTGAAATATGGAATTCGAAAATGGTGAAATGGAAAACCTGCAAAATTCGCTCAAGCGAAAATACATCGCTTGAGCGAGGATACCTGGAAAATTTGGGATTCTCGGGTTCTTTCTCGCTCAAGCGACCGGTGTACTCGCTTGAGCGACGAAAGCTTCAAACAAAGGTGACCCTCGGTCATGTCTCGCTCACGCGACGGTGTACTCGCTTGAGCGACGACGCCTTCAAATAAAGGTGACTCTCGGGTCATGTTTCGCTCAAGCGACCGATCTACTCGCTTGAGCGACGAAAGTCTTCAAACAAAGGAGACTCTCGGGTCATGTCTCGCTCAAGCGACCGTTTTACTCGCTTGAGCGACGAAGCCTTCAAACAAAAGGGAATCTAGGGTCATGTCTCGCTCAAGCGACCGGTTTACTCGCTTGAGCGACGAAGCCTTCAAACAACGGGGATTCTCGGGTTCCATCTCGCTCAAGCGACCGGTTTACTCGCTTGAGCGAGAGAAGGAAGAAGAAAGGGATATGGTGTGGATTTTTTTAAAAGATTAAGGGCAAAATAGTAATGATTTCGAAAATGATTTCGAAAATAGTTCGGAAATAGTTTCGGAAATGATTTCGGAAATTATTTTAGAAAAATATATATATAAAGATAGAGAGAGAATAAAAGTAGTGTGTTGTGACGTGTGTGGGTCAGACTGAGCCTGAGGGCTGATGCCCAGAATCAGTCCTGAGACGTTATATATTGGCTAGACTGAGCCGGAGGGTTGGTGCCAGAATCAGTCAAATACTATTTTTATTGACTCGAATAAGCCGTGAGGACATGTGGTCCAGAATCCGGCAAATGTGAATAATTTTTATTATGTTTGAATGGTACCCGGGTGGTACAGAGTACATTAGTGTAATAACTATGTCTGAGGATTCTCGAATAAGGTCCCGGACTTCACCGATTGGTCGGGTCGGGTAGACTACGAGATCGGGTGGTGAGAAGTCGATGGGGATGACCGGTGGCGCGCTCGGAGGGGTACTCCAGTATGAGTGATGAAGGGCGCCAGGTAATCCTACTTTGTGTGGAGGGTGGTCGAATGGTACTCGCGGTACCGATCACAATGTGCCCACAGATGATAGCCTCTGAGTTCGGGCATAGTTAGGGTATACTTCCGGAAGGTGTCTTAGTGTGTTGATAATTTCGTAATTGATCATAATGTATAATTCTATATCTGTTTTATTATATCGAATGATTTAATACTTACCCCTATTTTTCCATGTGGATGAGACTGCGATGATCACTTTTATGTGGGAGCAGA